CACAACAATATATAACGTTTATCCTTTTGTGATTGACTTCTTTCACCCAACATAATGTCCAGATTCATCCATGAGTTTAGTTAATCCTTTGTTGTTCTTTAATGTTGCATACCATTCCACTGTGTGAGTATACTAGTTTATCAACTGATCCATTAATACATCACCACTCACAATAGCCAAAAAGTAGAAACAACTCAAATGTCCATCAACATATGAATGGGTAAACAAAATGTGGTAGTCCCATAAAATACTCAGCCATACAAAGAAAAGAAATGATGCATGTTATAATATGGATTAAACTTGAGAACATTTTGCTGAGTGAAATACATTCAACACAAAAGAACAAATATTGTATGATTCCATTTACATGAAACATCTAGAGCAGGAAAAGGCTTAAGTTTTCTGATGGTTTTGGGGGCAAGGGAGAGGAGAGAATGGGAGTCATTGTTCAAGAGGTATTGTATTTCTGAGTGAAGTAATGTGAAACCATCAATTTGGGTGTCAATGAGCCATATATGTGATGATTGTTGAAATAGTTGTTGTTATGTGTTGGTTGAGTCACCTGAGACTCATAGTGACCCTATGTACAACAGCCCTGAAACCTGCTCTATCTTGGGTCAATTCACTGTCTCTGACACACCTACCCTCATTACCCTAGTCACTGAATCAATCCATCCTCCTCACAAGCATGACATCCCTTTTCAAGAATTGGGGGGAGCTATGGTGGCCTAGTGGCAAGAAGCTGCACTGCAATCCCAGAGGCGCATGGTTCGAATCCACCAGATGCTTTGCCGGGAAAGGAGGGACAATCTCCTCCTGTACCAGTCAGATCTGACTTGACAGTACACAGACACACAAAATAATAATAAAATTTTAAAAAATAGAAAAAAAAAGAATTGGTCCCTCCTTGAAACATGTCCAAAGTATGTCAGATGAAGCTTTAAAATCCTTAATCCCAAGGAGCAGCCTGTTCATACCCTCTCTAGGACAAACTTGTTTATTGTCCTAGCTGTCTATGGTATATTCAATACTCTTCTCCAACACCACAGCTCAAAGGCATCAGTTCTCCTTGTGTTATCCCTAATCATTTTCCAGTTCTCTGCTAGAAATCCTAACTAAAACAATCAGGTAATAAAAGGAAATAAAATAACTCTATACTCACAAAGAGGAAGTAAAATTATCTCTATCTGCATATGATAGAATTCTTTATACAGAGAATTCAAAAAACTCAGCAGGAAATTTACTAGACTTAATTGACCAGTTCAACAAAGTGATAATGTACAAGGTCAACATACAAAAACCAGTTAGGGTCTTCTACAGTTACAAAGAAAATACTAAAAGGCAATGGGAGTGGGGGAATACCATCTACATTAAGTACCCAAAAAGATGCACTACTTATGAATGGAATATAAAGGACTAGTTGTTGTTGTTGTTTCTGTTGTTGTTAGGTGCCACTGAGTTGAGTAAGACTCAGAGTGACCCTATGAACAAAAGATCTAAACCCAGTCCTGTCCTGCGTCATCCTCACACTTCCTGATACACAAGAGCCCGTTGCAGCAGTCACCATGTCAATACACCTGGTTGAAGGTCTTCCTTTTGCTGACCCTTTACCCTTTCCAGCATCATGTCCTTAATAGCCTCTCCTAGCTACATGCCCAAAATATGTGAGGTAAAACCTCATCATTCTAGCCTCCAAATGAGCACTCTGGCTGCATGGTCTCCCTCTTGGCCATCCTTGGGATGTTCAGTGCTCTTCTCCAACACCACAGCTCAAAGGTGTGAATTCTTTTTCTGTCATCCTTATTCACTGTCCAGGTCTCAGATACATAGCTAGTAATCAGAAAGACGATGGCCTGAATCAAACACACCTTAGTCCTCAAACTCACATCACTACTCCTCAATAATTTGGAAAGGTCCTTAACTGTAGATTTTCCCAGTGCAGTGTGTCTCCTTCTTTCCTGACTGCTCATACCAAGGGTGTTCATTGTGGATCCAAGCAAGATAAAGCTGTTGACAGTTTCAATCTCTTCTCCATCCATCATGACACTGCCTATTGGAGTGATAAGAATCCTTATTTTATTGTTATTGATATAAAAAAATCATCTATGAAGAAAGAAAAAGGTCATTCCAAAAAAACAGAGAAGAAAGAAAAAATAAAAATGGATGTCAGATGAGACTCCACAGAGTGCACTGGAGCATCAAGAAGCCAAATCTAAAGGAAACTATATCAAAGTGAAAGAGCGGAATAGATCATTTCAAAGGCAGCTTGGGAGGACAAAGTATTATAAGTGAATGTGCAGAGAGCTGGAATTGGGGAATAAAGAGGGAAGAACTTGCTCTGCATGTCTCAAGCTGAAAGAACTGAAAAACAAATTAAAGCAATATTGAAAGATGCTATGGGCAAGATACTGAATGACCCAGAAAGCATCAAAAAAAGATGGAGGGAATACACGGAATCACTGTACCAAAAAGAACTGATTAACACTGAAAAATTTCAGGAAGTTCCATATGAAGAGGAGCAAATGGTAATGAAAGAGGAAATGAAAGCTGCATTGAAGGCATTGATAAAAAATAAGGCCCAAGGAATCGATGGGATACCAACTGACTTGTTTCAGTTAACAGATGCAGCTCTGGATGCACTCACGGGTCTATGCCAGGAAATTTGGAGGATGGCTGTCTGGCCAATGGATTGGAAGAGTTCTGTGTTTGTTCCTATTCCCAAGAAAGGTGATCCAACTGAATGTGGAAATTATCAAACAGTATCATTGATATCCCATGCAAGCAAAATACTGCTAAAGATCATTTAAAAAATGGCTGGAAAAGTACATAGATAGGGAATTGCCAGAAGTTCAAGTGGGATTTAGAAGAGGCTGTGGCATCAGGGATCAGGGATATCACTGCTGATGTCAGATGGATCCTGGCTAAAAGTAAAGAATATCAGAAGAATGTCTATTTGTGCTTTATTGACTATGCAAAGGCATTTGACTGTGTGGATCATGACAAGTTGTGGCTGACATTGAGAAGAATAAGAATCCCAAAGCACTTGATTGTGCTCATGAGGAACCTATACCTGGATCAGGAGACTTGTGCAAGGGAGCAGGGGAGCACTGCATGGTTTGGAAATGGGCAGGGAGTGTGTCAGAGTTGTATTCTGTCTCCATACCTGTTCAATATATATGCTGAGCAAATTATATGAGAAGCTGGATTCTATGAGGAGGAATGCTGCATCAGGATTGGAGAGAGACTCATCAATAACCTGTGTTATGCAGATGACACAACCTTACTTATCGAAAGTAAGGAGGACTTGAAGCACTTGTTGCACAAGATCAAGGAATGCAGCCTTCAGTATGGATTGTGTCTCAATTCAGTATGGATTGTGTCTTAATATCAAGAAAACAAAGACTCTTACAAAAGACCTGTTGTTGTTGTTGTTGTTATGTGCCCGTCGAGTCATTTGTGACTCATAGCGACCCTATGTACAACAGCTCTAAACCCTGCTCTATCCTGTGCCAATCGCATTGCCTCTGACACACCCATCCCGATTACCCCAGTCACTGAATCAATCCACCTCATAGAGGGTCTTCCCCTCCTGCGCTGTCCCTCCACCCTCCCCAGCATGATGTCCTTCTCTAAGGACCTGTCTCTCCTTATAACATGTCCAAAGTACATCAGTCGAAGCCCCAGAATCCTTGCCTCCAAGGAGTAGACTGGTTTAACCCTCTCTAGGATGGGTTAGCACTATTATAAGGAGCTACAAGGGACCATCATAAATTACTATATCATGCTGTCAATACTACCAAAAACAATCTACAGATATAATGCAATACTAATTCAGATTCGGTGATCCTTTGGCCAGAGAGCATGATGCTGTGTACATGGGAGTTGTGTTGTGTTGTGGAGGTCTCTGGAGAAAGGCGACTCTGCCTCCAAGAGCCAGGAAAGCCATGCTTGGCCTTGGGTTGAAGGCACCAGCGGCTTCAAGCCCTAAAGGAGAAGAGGAGGAGGGAGGAGACGGCCATAATCGCCCAGGTTTGCCCCACCCAGGGTGGCTGTGATCCTTTGACGACTTCACAGCACTTAACAACAATAACATCAACAGAGAGAGAGAGAGAGACAGAGACAGAGATCAGCTGGCCCAGCGAAGAGAAAACGGTGTGACCAAGACAAAGGTGGGTGACTTTTAGTTTGTGGCCCTCCGGCCAGTCTTTCATTGTTTTTGTTCAGACATTCCTCTAGGTCGTATAACCCTGGTGTACAAGTTGCCGTCCCGCGGTCACTTGTGGTTGCTGTGAGGCTGAACACTGTGACACGATGTGTCAGATGCGTTAATGGTTGACTACCCAGTGAGGACTGAGAGTGGGGTGGAGCTCCCTGATTAAACAAGCGTGGAAGGAGGAGTGGCGTCCACTTCCATAACAGCTTGCCTCCGGAAACCCTAAGAACCTGGAGAGAGGATGAAAGGCACCCAAGCGTCGAGGACTCTCCTTCATAGGGTCACTATGAGTCGCCTGCGACTCGATGGCACTTAACAACAACAACAACAATTAAGATTCTATCATCATTCTTCATTCTTCAAAGAGATGGAATCAACTTTATATGGAAAGGCAAGAGGGCCCCCAAAATAGGCAAAGTGATACTGAAGAAGAAAACAAAGGAGGAAGCCTTTATTCCCAACCTCAACATCTACTCCACAGTCACACTAGTCAAAGCAGCTTGGTACTGGTGTAATAGCAAATACACGGATCAATGGAACAGAATTGAGATATAAATCTGTTCACATAAGGACAACTAATATTTGACAAAGATATTAAATCTGGACAAAGACGGCTTCTTTAACAAAGAGTGCTTATAAAACTGGCTATTTGCAAGGAGAAAAAAAAGTGCAACCAATGTTGCGCATTGAGTGTTGGTCAGGAGTTTGGAGCCACTAGGTACTAAGAAAGAGAGGGAGACTCTGCCCCTGAAAATAATGAGCTTCACAAACTAGAACTAGAGTTGCCATGAGTCAGCGTCTACAGGATGGCACTGTGTTTGGATTTTGTGGGTTAACGAAAAATAAGGATTCTAGCCAGGGTTGGTCCCTGTTCTGTGACCAGGAGCAAAGTCACCCATGCAAGTATCTTCATCTGCAAACCCGGAAGAAGCTCAGGTAAACAGCGTAATCTCCCTAAATGCGTCTCCCTGAACTGCAAAGGGACGTCGCCCAAAGAACTGCAAAAAACGTCCAAGAATTCCAGACCTGCCTCTACTGGATAATGATAATTCCACACGTCTGAGTCTGGATGCGAGTGTTATCTTCCACAGCCTGGTCTTTCCAGCCGATCCCCGACATAGCCACAAAGTGGCTCCAGTAGCCAGGTCCAGAGCTGGCTGTACTTCGCTGTGAACTACAATCCCCATAATCCAAATCGGCCGAACCACTTCCAGCTGGAGGTGGGGGCGAGCCAGCGTTCTCTGAAATGTTATGCCTATTTTCTTCTAGGTAGAGTTCATTTTTAAAGAGATTTTTGTTTTTCGTTTCCTAGACACTTGTTCCTGTCAGGTAGGATTCTGCCCTCCGCATCTTCTGGAGCCCCCCTTCAATGTGAGGCAGTAGATGGTTTAGTCCAGCGGTGACACTAGAGGCGGCTGTGAAGCCAGGGTAGAGAGGGGCGAGGGCGCACGCGTGCGTACGCGTGCGCACAAGCACAGCATGAGGGTTGGGGCCCTTGAGCCTCTTCCCGATGTCTGTAAAGGTGAGTGGGTTGTCCCGAGGGTTGCCGTTGGCCACTCTTCCGCTGTGGCCCTAAGGACAGTCACCACCATGTCAGCCAATTAGAAATGCTATTGATTCCTTTTGTTCAGAAAATGGGATCCCTCAAATTGATATGGCGACTTCAGCAACGAGTTTCAGAAGAGCAGTGCGTGTGAGGCTGGCGCAGGATCAGGCACGTGTATCCTTCCGTTTGTACCTAAGGTGGTGGCTGTGAGTCGGGACTGTTGTTACACCCGCAACAGCAATGGGAACTCAATTTTAGTTTTCATAGGTCAGAATCTACCTCCAAATAAACTATTTTTAGTCTTTTATTGCAGCTGTCTACTTACAAGTCTGGACTATAATACCATATCGTGGAGTTACACCTGTGAACAAAGCAATTATGGGCCCTTCCCGCATAGCTTTTGTAAATTGTTGAGTTACAGACAATTGAGCATATACTTTAATTATGCCTGTTTGTGCTGTAACCTTTTGGTGTTATGCTTTCTTATAAAATGAGAGTAGATCAGATTATCTCTAAGAGCTTTCTAGCTCTATAAACCTATAGTTTGTGAGGAGTAGAATTGTATTGTTGTTGTGTACTGTTGAGTCGGAATGGATACCTAGGTGACCCTCATGTGGGTTTTCAGGAGACAGTTAATCGAAAGGGAAGAGATTGCCCTTCCTTCTCCCCGCCCCCCCCAGCAGCTGGTGGGTTCAAACAGCGTGCCTTTGGAATTGCATAACAGCTTCTCACCAATAGGCCACCAAATTCCTTGAGCTCCAGAATCAGATTACTCCACAGCTTAATACTAAATATTTCTGAGCAAACATCATGAGAACATACCATGTTGTTAGAAGCTATCGAATCAGCTACAACTCATAGCAACTCTATGTACAACAGCAGGAAACACTGATGGATCCTGTGCCATCTTCACAATCTCTGTTGTGCTTTATGCAGCCTTTTGCGGCAGCTAGTAGCCAGTATGTCAATGCATCTCAATAAGAAACTTTCTCTTCTTACTGACCCTCTACTTCAGTAAACATGTCAGGGAATGCTTCCTCAGGATAACATGCCCAAAGCATAAGAGGTCAAGTCTCACTATCCTCACATCTAAGAAGCATTCTGGTTGCACTTCTTGAAAAATAAACTTGCTTAGTCTTTTGGAAGTCCATGATATATTCAGTATTCTTTGCCAGCACCACAATTCATAAGCATCAGTTCTTCTTCAGTCTTCCATATTTATTTTCCACCCTTCACATGAATATGAGGCAACTGAAAATACCTTGGCATAGATGAGGCAGGCACATCTTAGCCCACAAAGGGACATCCTTGCTTTCTAGTACTTTAAAGAGGTCACTGGCAGCAGATTTCACCAATGCAATGCATTAGCTCATTTTTTTTTAAATTCAATGAAAGTTTACAAAGACTTAAAATTTCCATTCATTCGTTGTTGCACTTTTATCCTTGCCCACCCACCCCCAATTCACCCTTCTTTTTGAAAAGTAAAAAAAAATTCTTTCACTGTTATACAATGCCTTCGCCCAAGTCCGCTCCACTATGCAGCCTTCATTCTGGACCCCTGTCATGACAATAATACCTAATCATATATCCCTTTTAAACAGTTTTCTCCCTCATCTGTTTCAATGCAGCATACATTATTTATCCCCTCATTCTCAGTCTCCCCTCAACCCCGATGTCAGTCCTGTTATACAACAGTGGCCCTATGCAATATTTGTCCTTTTGTGACTGAGATTTTTCACTCAGCATAATGTCCTCCAGGGTCACCCATTTTGTATTATATTTCATGAGTTCCTTGTTTTTCTGTGCAGCATAGTATTCCATTGTGTGGACATACCACAGCTTCTCTATCCATTCGTTTGTTGATGGACACTTGGGTTGTTTCCAACTCTTTGCTATTGTGAACAAAGCCACAATAAACATGGGTGTGCATATATCAGCTTGGGTGGTAGTTATGGTTTCTTTAGGGTATATTCCCAGTAGTGGAATTGCTGGGTCAAATGATATTTCCTATTTGCAACTTTTTGAGAAAGTTCCATACTACCTTCCAGAGTGGTTGCACCACTTTACACTCCCGCCAACAGTGTATAAAGGTTCCAGATTCTCTGCAACCTCGCCAGCATATGATGTTTGCTGTATTATCTCATTTCTTAATTATTGATACTTCTATGGATGTTGATTATAAATTCAAGTAAAAAAATCCTTGAAAAACTTAATCTTCTCTGTTTATCATGTTATTGTTTATTTTTTTTTAAGTTGTAAGGATTTTTTTGTTTTTTATGATGATGTATAATGTACACTGAAGGCTATAGAAGTACACTGTGGACATAAAGAAATACCCCTTATTAATATTTCTTTAATATATTGTCTTCTTCCCTTTTACTGAAGCTAGGAAATTATAATGCTGCTTTGTTCAACATGTATTTGTTGTTGTTTTATAGATCATTGCTAGGAAGAACCTTGGATACAACGAACTCAATGTATTTGATGATGGCTCGAGTCTTAAGAATAAGGATTCCTAATCGAATGAAAATGCTTGCCTATCTTGGTGTCAGTAGGCATAGAATGATGTCAACCCATAAAACCAATAAGAAAATCAGAGAGTATTATAGTCTCTTGAATCTTAGTGAAGAATGCTCTGCTGATGATGTCAGAGAATCTTTTCGTAAACTTGCCAAGCAATACCATCCAGACAGTGGCTCAACTACAGCTGATGCTGCCACTTTTATAAGGATTGAAGAGGCTTATAGGAATGTGCTTTCCCATGTGATAGAACGAACAAATGCCAGACAGAATAAAACTGAGGACTCAGAAGAAGACGACAAATTCAAATATAAAACACCCCAACACCGGCATTATCTAAGTTTTGAAGGTGTTGGTTTGGGTACTCCAAGCCAACGAGAGAGGCAATATAGGCAATTTAGGGCAGACCGTGCCACTGAACAAGTGATGGAATATCAAAGACATAAACTTTATAGCCAATATTTTGCTGATAGTTTAATTGTCAAAGATGTCAGAGAGAGTAAAAAACAAAAGATCACACAAGTGATGGAGCGTTTAGTGGAGGATCTCATTCAAGAATCAATGGCAAAAGGAGACTTTGACAATCTCAGTGGGAAAGGCAAACCTCTAAAAAAATTTTCTGGCTGTTCGTATATTGATCCCATGACACACAACCTGAACAGAATACTGATAGATAATGGCTATCAACCGGAATGGATCCTCATGCAAAAGGAAATAAGAGATACTATTGAGCAACTCAGAGAAGCAATCCTAGTGTCGAGGAAAAAACTTGGGAATCCAATGACAGCAACTGAGCAGAAACAGTGGAACCAAGTCTGTGAGCAATTTCAAGAAGACATCAGGAAACTAAACAAACGTATCGATGATTTTAATTTAATTGTCCCCCTCCTGACCAGACAGAAAGTCCATTTTAATGCACAGAAGGAAATTATCAAGGCCCAGAAAATATATGAGACTGTTACAGAAACAAAAGAAGTC